TTCTGAGACCACACTTGCATATCACGACGATTTTAAAACCTAAACCTCTGTTACCACTTTCTTCAAATTTCACAGGTAATTTACAATCGCGACATATCAAAATATCTGACAATGCTGTAAACACGGTAAAAAACTCGATTAACCGATAGCCTCGAAGCGCACTGTAATGGACATCATCTTCGTCAGCGGTAGAGAGTTTTTTCGCACTTGTACTCTGCGGCTCTGTATTTTCTTCATCGTTATTACAGTGTTGATTTCCATGGAACTTTCTTTTTCGTGGTTTTGCACTACGGGTTGATATATTTCTTTTACTTTTAGGATAAGACTGCATTTTTATTTCACTTATTAATTTACTCCACACAGAACGAATGCCAGAAGTATACTGAACTGAACTAAAATAACGGCAACACTGGTTTTAAGTATTTTATGTTAACTATATAGTGGTTGTATACCTAGAATTGGAAGACAAAAGATTTTCGGAACATCTGCTGACCCGGTTCAACCATACAATAGACCCCAAGAGTGTAAATTCGAAATCCAGGTACCGAGAATCGAGCGCTCAATTACAGACTTCAATAGCGCTCAATCGCCGAGTTAAGGCGAAGCACTTAAATGAGTTTTTAATATATAAATAATGATAATTTTATTTTGAAAATTTACAGGCATATTTTTGAAATGATATTCTAACGATATATATAAAAAAAAAAATCGATTTTTTTTTTACATGTATCGCCAGCCTTAATTCGATAATAAAGGACCTTGTACTTCCGGTCATATAATTCTCTAATGGACGTTAAGGAATAAGTTATTATGTCCGAGGAATTTTTCGTAAAATTTACTTAAAAGAGTTTTCTTAAATGTACATACAGCAGACTTATTGTTTATCAAATAAAAAATATTTATTTTTACTTAGTACTACAAAGATTATTCAAAGAAATGTCGTTTCATTTGAATTTATATCTTTCAGCTCAAATAATAGATAACTTTTTGACCGTAAGAAGTTTACTTTATTTTAATCTTTTAAGTCGACTTTCACTTTGAACTAAGCCAAGAATATTATTCTTCAAAAAATTGCACCAGAATCGGCTTTTTCGGGACCGAATGTAATTATTCGGCTAAACGATGGGTCGCTTCTGATTTCCTACCGCAGCTGAATAACGCGACTGAAACATTGTGTTCACCTACCGGAAAATTAGAGGCGACAGATCAATCATTTTTTTTTGGATCTTCAGGAAGGTTTTATCCAGATCCTTCAAAAAGATTAGAAAATAGATGGAATGAATTTAGAAGTTGCATGACTGAAATTGAACAACTGAGCGATCGTTCTAAGTATTTATCTGAAGCAGCTAGATTGTACGATAAGTATAATATGAATGATATTCTGCGGCAAAGTAATATTACTCCAAAAAAAAATTACACTTATCAAGAAATTTCTGACGCTGTATCCAAGGTCACGCAAGGAAAAAAACCTGTTATAAAATGTTTGTGGGATTTTGTAAGTCTGATAGTTCTCTTCTTTACCAGTTAACTTTTCGGGTGTTATAAGAAAGGATATTGACAAAACAGAAAAAAGAAAAGGGAAAAAATTATTAATTGCAAAGAGCATCAGAATAATACACTTGAATATGGAAAATATTAATTGGTTTTCTTTTTTTAATAAAACGATTAATTCACGAAGAAAATATTTTTTTTTAGAAGACAAATGTCCTAGAATTAGAAACAATAACACTATTCTTCGATAAATCATTGAATTTAATTGACCCACTGAAAAACTACTATCCCGGAAAACGTCCACCTTTTGACCCCCAACCGGGGGCCAATTGAACCATTCGACGCATTTGCATAAATTAATAATTTTTAATAATTCATGTTGTTTATTGATTCATTTATGGATTGAAAATGATAATAAACATAATAAACTACCATTCCAAAACAAAAAATTATTATTTAGTTTTAATTCGTATATTAAAAAATTGCTAAACTTTTTTTGGTTTAATTGACCTTCTTCTCCCCCACTATGTAACATAGTAATGGTTACTATTCTACATAGGAATAAGATCTATTTTTTTTTCTGTGTGTATATTTGAATAAAACTACACTGATATAAAAATCAACTTGATTGAAGAAAACATTCTTGAGCCAGGACAATAATTTTGAAGAGTTTGATCATGCTAATTTAATCGAAGAAATTTTTGAATAAAAAAGAACTTCCTTGAATCGCAAACAATTATTCAATTCAAGAATTTTTCAGCTTGAATCAAAATTATCAAACATTCATTAGTAATGTTCTTGGTTGAAGATTTCTTCTTTTGAAATATAATCACGTTCGAAATTTAGATACAATTATACAGCTTCATGCATAAATATATCTTGCAATCCATAATTAGACTCAACCATTTATCTCTAGGATCGTTATTGACCTTTCGCTATTACGGCCTCGGAGCCTAATTTCCTTATATATTGGTCCTGATAACCAGTCTTTCTTAGAAAGACGTTGACTTTCAGTGGTTGCGGTTAAGCTTATCGTCAAGTTTATGACAAGTCTTTGCTGAATAACAGTTGTGTAATAGTTGATGTAAATCTACGGCCCGAATTTGGTTGTACGGTAACATCAGACTTGTCGTTAACTTTCCATCAATTTTACTACCCGGAAAGAATTGTAGACAAAGTTACAATTGTGACATCGTAGTTCAGGACCAGACTTTCAATATTTTCACTTTTATAATTCTACAGCATAAAATTTATAATATTACATCGTAAAAATTCGGATATTTACTCCTTTTATACACATTTTTACGATGTGACATCGCAAATTTTAAAATGTTCAAGTATCAAAGTGAAGATTTAAAGTCTGGTCCTGCACTGGTAGAAAGGTTAGCTTGACTCAAGAAAAAAATTTTTAAACTAATACTACAAGGAAAATAGTGAATTTCTTGGGACAAAAGAAAAAATTATTGAGCCAAAAAATATTTTTTTAAAACAAAAATTATATCTTATAGCTCAAAAAATTTTTTTTTTACTCAAGAAATTTATTGTTTCCTTTATTATAAAATTTTTTCTCTTGAGTCAAGCTAACCTTTTTATTAGGGTATATTTACGATATGACAATTGTAATTTTTCTTACAATTTTTTTTCCGTGTAAAATTTTGATAAAATAACTTGCAGGTAAAGGCAACTCACTGCCAATTCTTGCACAGAAAAAAAAATTAACTTAAATCAAGGAAGTAATTTTAAACTTTATAGTCTTGATTTGAGTAGGAAAATTCTTAAACTAAGATAATTCTCTTGGTTTAATTTAAGTAAACTTTACTTCAAGAATTTTTTGTCTTGATTCAGGACAATAAAACTCTCCAGATTATTTTCTTGGTTTAAAAATTATTCTCTTGATTCAAGTAAATTTTTCTCAGTGTATTCTTTTATTTCTTTATATTAAATTCTTCAGATTCCGGTCGCAGATTCATGGTAAGTTTGTTAGAATACCTATTAGGAGTTACACTATTATCAGCAGGGCAATTTACACACAATTGGTTACTTAGCTGCTTAACTTTACACCAGTCAATAAAAGAGATATTATCATTATCAATCCACGGCTTTTCATTTTATCTCTAAAAAAATTTTCTTTTGAACAGTGTTATAATCTGTGTTTCAACAATTCTAAGAATACTTATCTAAAATCCTTTAAAAAAGAAAAAAAAATAGACTAAGTAAATATTAACTAAAGTAAATTAAAATTTAATTTAAGTTTCAGTATTGACATTCTAAAATGATGAATCATCTTATTTTATACTGTATAAAATATAACACTATTCTAATCTTTCCCTTCCAATGTATTTAAATACTGATATAATCATTTTCTGACGCAATATCCTACACACCTACCATATAATTTACTATTATTATTATTCTTACCATTCAATACAATCATTACAGACGATTAATTTTTCATGATACATATGAATAGCTCAAAATTTCTCAATCATAAAAGTAAATCATTAATTTCAATTAATAAAAATTTTCTCTAAAAAATTGACCTTTAATCTGTCACTTATAACAAGAATGCAAGTATTACTCAATAAAATAAATAATAACTAACATTTTAATTAAAAACCAACAAAGCATTTAATCACTCGCCGTTTCTGAGTGGAATGAGTCAATTGTAACATTAAATATATCATTATAACACATTTACTCTCGATTGAGTAAAACAAATAAACTTAAAATTAAAAACCAACATAGTTATAGTTGTTAATAATTAAGTGACAATTAATAATTATTAATACAAACATGATTAATTGCAATGCAAATGATCGAATTCGTTGAAGCGTTAAGACCGGATTAATAATTTAAAAAAATTAAAAATGACAAATGGAGCGATGATAATTAGCAATCGAAGCCTTGAATTTTCTTTGAGATTAAAAAAAAGTAATATTTATATTACTTATTACCATCTTAATTGACATTATCGATGCAAGGCGATAATAATCTCACAGATTGCAGAATTATCTATCGAAAATTACGCATTTAACTGGGCTGAGTATCACCAGCTGTCAATTTATTCGAACAATAAATCTAATTACACCAAGGACTCAAAATTAAAATTTAAACGTAGCGACAGGTTTTCTTTAATGGATTCCGTAAAGTCTTTAAGGTATTTGTGAGTAAGGTCTTTACCAAAGGCACGATAATATCTGAGAGAATGTCTAGTGTGTAAGACATACCACGCGGACGCGGATGTGGTCAAGAAATGGTGCTTAAAGCGTTATCGCACGTGTCAACAGATCGGTAAACAAAAAGATTACTTATAAATAAACAATGATATTAATTATTGAGGTAAATAACTTAATGAAAAATAAGGAATTATTATCATTGTGGGACTTTAGTGTCTTGCTATAGAGTGGGATTTTTAAATCTATTTTTAATGACACTAAGTAGGGTTTTATACAGAAAGTAGTTATTGTTGTTGTGTGATATCTAGCGTGCTCAACTTATCGGGTTTCATTAGCTGTTTAGGCTGGATCAGAGACATTGTTATTGAGTGCTTAACAACAGCACGTGCTTTTATCAAATCGAGCTCCGAGTTTAATTGTAAGTAATAGGCAACTTTATGAGTTCGCGTCTAGTAAGTGTCAATTAAGTGTTACGATTGAGTGCCAGTCGACTGAAAGTTCGTCAAGATGACCAAAAAAGCAGCCTCGGATAAGTTGAGAAGAAATCCGATCGAGAAGGCGAACCCCCTTAGCCGATTATTTTTCTGGTTTGTATTTTATTTATTTGTTTGAGATTGGAGATCTTTTATTTTTTGTTTCGTTCCAGGTGGACGTTGGAGTTATTCAAAAGAGGAGCTCGCAATGGAATCACCATGGATGACCTTTACACTCCGTTGTCGGCTGATAAGTCCGAGACTTTGACTGATAATTTGGAAAGGTATTTTTATTTATTATCACCGGAGTTAATTATTTTATTCCGCGGGCTATTAGTCAAATGCTTGGTGTTTGTGGAAATCAAACAGGGAGTTTTTTTTGTAAAATAATTAAAAGATCATGTGTTGTCGTATCATCGAAACTCGTTTTTTGGTGTTGATAAATAATGCTAAAAATAGCAAACGTCTACCGGTAGTTTAATTTCATAAAATATATTATAAATCGGAAAAATGTTTTTCGAAAATGTTCGCATCGGGAATTTTAAGATGTCTGCGGCTGATATTTTTTGAGTGTTTTTTATTGTCATTATGATAATTTATTTATTAAAAATATCAAAGTTTATTATTTTCACTATTTTTCTGAAGTTATTATTAATTTCATTGATATTGAATCATTATTCGCAGAATTTATATGAAAAAACAAACAATATGGTAATGTATCTTGTGAATCTTATTTGGATAACACCCTGTTTAGGAAAAGATTCGAAATGACTCAAAGAGATTAAAAAAGATCCAACTTGACAAATATATAAATATACACTTTGCATGGATTGAATCTTTTTAAATCTTTTTTTTTAATTAGGGCATTTTGAAAACGACGAAAGGTAATAATTTATTACTTCATCTATCCGATTTGATCAATGTTAGTTTCTTATGGAAAATATTTTAATGAGCTATCTATATTTGTGACTCATCGGAAATTTCTGTAAAATTCTGTCTATAACAAGTTTAGTGGTAGAACTATCCTGAGGCGGTGTCAATGATTTCGTAACCGATTATATGTCCTTCAAAACGAAGCACAATTATTATTTTATAAGAAAGACATTCTTAACTTATGATATATTATCACTAACTTTATAATTTTACTGCAGGGCTTGGAATGATGAGTTGAAGAAACTGGAACTCAATCAAACTCAGAATAACGATGATAATTACAAAAAAAAACCAGCTAAGCCAAGTTTGCTTCGAGCAATGATCAGAACTTTTTGGATGAAGTTTGCAGCGATAGGAGTGCTCCAAGTGTTTGAGCAGCTTGTCTTATTTAACTTGCAGCCAATCATCCAAAGCTGGGTCATTTCGTACTTCGGAGCTAAGAATGAAAACTCGATGACTCAAAATGAAGCCCTGAGCTGGGCTGTAGCGCTCATCGTCGTAACACTGGGAATCACGTTGATTATTCATCACACGAATTTCTTCGGGGAGATATTAGGGATGAGAATGAGACTGGCCTGCTGTTCTCTAGTCTATAGAAAGAGTTTGAAACTGAGCAAAACTGCACTGGATGATACTCCGGCTGGCCAGGTTGTGAATCTTCTCAGTAACGATGTCAACCGCTTCGACTTGCTCCCCGTGCTCTTTAATTATCTATGGATCACACCGCTTCAGGTAAAATTTGCATGAGTAATGTGTTAGAGGTAAATAATTTAAAAATTGTTTTGCTTTGTCATAATTAGATCATTGTGATCGGATACATAATCTGGCGCAGTATCGGGATCTACACTCTAGTGGGCTATGGAATGCTCTTTTTGATAACGATTCCGATGCAAGGCTACGTGGGAATTGTCTCAGGAAAGCTCAGAAATGTTACCGCTAAATTGACTGATCGACGAGTCCAGCTCATGAGTGAACTAATTGCCGGCATTCAAGTATGTTGATATTTATTAAAATGGTTAACAGTGGTGTAGCGTGAGATATAAATACGAGTGTATAGCTAGTTACCTTCAAATATATCAAAATCGATTTAATAAACAAGTCGCTTAAGAAATGTTTATTTGAGAAATCTGAAAAATATGAATTTAGAGAAATAATTTAAAATTTTTAATTGGTCGTACAATTGTCTAGTGACAGTCAAAATTAAATCACTTTTACGAAACTAATTTCAAGTTTATTTTAAGATATTGATGAAGGTTATGTATGGGGCATTCCCCAACAAATCGACTACTGTTGACCATGACCCCTTTTGTCTCTCATAATTTTTTCAAATTTTTTTACCCAACCAAAAAAAAGTTATAAATTTTTCAAAAAAACCGCTTTTTTATTTTTAAATTGCCATAACTTTTTCAAAAATTGACTTATTGGGACGTTTTTTTTATCAAAATTTTTGTTATTAAATGTTCTTTTTGGGAAAAAATATAAAAAAATTATTCAAACCTATCTTCATCGTTATTTTTTAGATTTTCTGAAAAAAACTCCGAATTTTTCGATAATAACTTTCTTTAATATAAAACTTTGACATTTTCTACAAATATCCTGAAATTTTCAAAAAGGTGTTTTTTCGATTTCTATTTTTTTTTCAATTGAAAAAAAAATTTTTTTTTTAATCTTATTTTTCATAACACCGGTTCAAAAATTTCCGGGAATCCTTGAATAACAAGAAAAAAGTATATAACCAAAAGTTGAACATGTTAATCAATTGTTTTTTTCATGTATTGCTTAATAAATGGTGGGCATTGAAATAAACAATTCTCCGACAATCTGAGTTTTATGGTTAAAACGCTTTCATCAAATGGTTTAATACATGATTATAATGTCTCAAATGCAATAATTCTTAAACTAATAAAGACATTTAGCTTAGCTAAGCAAGAAAATGTTCTTTAACTTAATATCATTTCTGAAGATGGGACTTAATCAGTTTTTTTTATGAAGAGGATTCATCGGTGGCGCAAACTATCATTTCTCGAAGAAGTTTAGAGTAATTTGAAAACAAACTTGGACCTTCGCAAGGATTAAAAATTTAAAAAGCAATTCTGAGAAGCTTATCTGGTTAACTTTTAGTTCTATATTTTTTTTTAATTTTCAATTTTCTTTGTTTTTAAAAAAATTAATTTTCTCGATGATTAACATGTTCAACTATTGGTTCTATACTTTTTTTTTTGTTTTTGAGGATTCCCGGAAATTTTTGGACCGGTGTTATGAAAAATAAGATTGAAAAAAAAAATTTTTTTTTTCAATTGAAAAAAAACTATAACTCGAAAAAACACCTTTCTGAAAATTTCAGGATATTTGTAGAAAATGTCAAAGTTTTATATGAAAGAAAGAAAAAGAAATTAAAAATCGTTATCATCGAGAAATTCGGAGTTTTTTCAGAAAATCTAAAAAATAACGATGAAGATAGGTTTGAATAATTTTTTTATATTTTTTCCCAAAAAGAACATTTATTAACAAAAATTTTGAAAAAAAAAAAACGTCCCGATAAGTCAATTTTTGAAAAAGTTATGGCAATTTAAAAATAAAAAAGCGGTTTTTTTGAAAAATTTATAACTTTTTTTTTGTTGGGTAAAAAAATTTGAAAAAATTATGAGAGACGTTTTTGATAGTGTAGATAAGGATGGTAAACTTTCAGCCAAATCAACAGGGGTCAGGGTCAAAAGTGGTCGATTTGGCGTGGAATGCCCCGTATATTAAATATTTGCCATCTGCTAATTGTATTTAGGTTTAACATATTTTGATCTTTCTATGCAGTCTGCATTACTAAAATAATCCTAAATTTCTTTACAGGTTGTAAAAATGTATGCATGGGAAATACCATTCAATAAAATAGTCACACAAACGAGGTTGAATGAAATAAAACAGATACATCGATCAAACAACATACGTGGATTGTATTCCAGTTTATCAGAGTTCACACAAAAGGCGATGATGTTTATGACACTGGTTATCTTCATAATGATCGATGACAATCCAATAACTCCCGGAATCACTTTCCGAATCTCAATTTACTACAGCACTCTCCAATTGCTCATGACAATATTCTTTCCGATATCAATTATTTCGCTGATTCAGGGTATCATTGCAGTCCAAAGAATTGAGGTGTGACAATTTAATAAAACCAACCCATCAATTTTGCATAAAAAATTATCCTTAATTAAAATTTTTTCAGGAATTTCTTCTATTAGAAGAAGTTAAAAAAAGTGCAGAAGTTGAGGACAAAAAAGAGTTGGAAGTTCCAGCAATTGAAGACAAAAATTCCCAGAAGAAATCCAACCCAGGAGCTGTAGTTGTCAAGTTGAGTAAAGTTTCGGCTAATTGGAAGTTCGGACAATTGCCTCCAACTCTGTGTGATGTCTCACTGAAAATCAACGGAGGAGAACTTTGTACTCTCGTAGGTCCAGTCGGTTCGGGCAAAAGTTCTTTTTTGAATTTGCTCCTGCAGGAGCTGCCAGTTGGTGCAGGAACAGTTGGACTCTTCCAGTTCTCTGATGGAGAATCAGCAGATGCGAAATCTCAATCAGGATTTATACAGGACAATCCTGAAATGAAGATATCATACGCTAGTCAGGATCCGTGGCTCTTTACAGGAACTGTGAGAGAGAACATTCTATTTGGACTAGAGTATGATAATACACGTTACCAAGAGGTGAGAGTGATTTAATCATTTGCATTTCAAGTATGATCTGTTATTATATTCACGATTGGATTTGATTTTAGGTAACGAAAGTTTGTTCTCTCCTGCGAGATTTCAAACATCTGCCTAACGGAGATTTAACTATAGTCGGAGAACGAGGAGCTTCACTGTCAGGCGGCCAGAGAGCGAGAGTCAATTTGGCCAGAGCCATCTACAGACGAGCCGATCTGTACCTTTTAGATGATCCGTTGAGTGCTGTTGATGCACGTGTCGCTCGACGGCTCTTCAAAGATTGTATCCTCGAGTATCTGAAAGGCAAAACGCGGATCTTGGTTACGCATCAGCTCAATTATCTCAAGCAAGCTGATACTATCGCAGTTTTGGAGCGCGTAAGATTAAAAGCTTTTGATATTATCTTTATAACACTCGTGATAACTCTGTTTGTCTCACTAGGGCTCGATCAAACATCACGGAACTTTTGATACTTTAATTCAAACGAGTGCTGTTTTCAACAACATGCTCAACGCTCTAAAGAAAAACGAGGACGAAAAAGAAACTGAAGCTGTTGTTGAAACTGTCAAGGAGCAAAGTCCTGATAATCAAGAGACGGAAGTCACAAGCGAAAAAAATAATTTCTTCCGTCGGGCCAAAACCAGGATGTCCCAAATTTCGATCAGATCTCACGATAGTTACAAATTTGTAAATATTTCCTTCGAGAACAACAGCTCTACTTAACATAATTAACTGAGCAATGTTTCAGATGGTCAATGAAGACGCTGATGGAGTGGATCTGAAAAATACTATCCCCGACGAAGTAAAGGGTAAAGGATTCATCTCCAAGGAGATTTACTTCCGATATTTCCGCGAAGGTGGTGGGATCATTGGATGCCTTCTGCTGGTCCTGATGTTCATTCTAACCCAGGTTGCTGCGGTCGGTGTCGATCAGTGGATGACTTTCTGGACAACTCTAGAAACATTCAGGCCTTGTATCCAGAGTGCAGGCGGTATCTGTTCAGGGGCTGTACTTGAATCTAACGCTCTCATCAACAATACGAAACTGAGCTCACTTCTTGATAGCGATGGTTTGCTACCCGCCGAAACTGCAGTCTACATCTACCTCGTTCTTATCATCACTTTTATCACTCTGTCTATGTCCAGGGCCCGTTTTCTCATGTGGGTCGGTATGAGAGCTGCACGCAAGCTCCACAATCAAATGTTTTCTAATCTTCTTCAAGCGACCATGTATTTCTTTAACACTAATCCTTCGGGTAACTATTGAACCATCTTGAAAAATTTAATGAACTCTTGATTTATCCATTCGATTACATGAAATTATGATGTTATTTCTTTTCAGGTCGACTTTTAAACAGATTCTCAAAAGATGTTGGAGCAATGGATGATTTACTCCCACAATTTATGATAGAAGCATCTCTTATATTAATGGAAGTCCTCGGTATCTTGATAAATATCATCACTGTTAATATCTGGATGTTAGGCATTACGATTATCGTCGGGGTCATATTTTACTTCTTAACATTTTTCTATCTAAAATCCGCTCAAGATGTTAAACGACTTGAAGGAATCGGTAAGAATAATTAGGTCTTAGATGAATCCTTCATTCTCTTGCGTAATAGTGAAGTTAGTTTTAAAATTATTCGTTTCTTCTAATTTTCAGCGAAAAGTCCAGTTTTTACACACGTTGTCACGACAATGAATGGCCTAACCACAATAAGAAGTCGAGGCAAAGATGTGCAACTGATGTTACGGAACGAATTTGATCGGTATCAAGATGATCATACCGGAGCATGGTATTTAGTTATAGCTTCTGGAACAGCATTTGGCTTTAGTATTGACCTTGTCGCTTGTACGTTTATTGCCGTTATGTGTTTCTTGCTCATTCTTATCAATCCAGGTAATTTTAAACTTCAATCTGATAAAAGTTGGTTTCACAAGTTTATTCTAATTATAACTTTGAATACATCACCAGAAAATACATTTGGGGCGTCGGTTGGTTTAGCGATATCTCAGTCATTGACTTTGACGGGAATGCTTCAGCATGGAGTAAAGCAAGCTACTCAAGTACAGTCACAGATGACAGCTGTTGAGAGAATTATTCAGTATACAAACTTACCAAAAGAAGGTCCAATAGAATCATCGAAACCGTTGCCTGAGAACTGGCCATCCAAAGGCCGACTTCAGTGGAAGAATGTTTATCTCAGCTATAAAAAAGACGACCCTGCTGTTTTAAAGGTATACAAGTCTCGAGTTATAATTAAGCTTGCAAATAAATTTCAGATTAATTCAATTAGATATTTTTTCTGCTTAATAGAACATTGACCTGATGATCGAGCCGGGCTGGAAAGTTGGAGTTGTCGGAAGAACTGGTGCCGGAAAATCCTCATTGATATCTGCGCTCTTCCGACTAGTCGACGATGGTCTCCAGGGGCAAATAATTATTGACGGTGTAGACACTAAAACAATCGGTCTTCAAGATTTAAGATCGAGTATATCCATAATTCCACAGGAGCCTGTTTTATTTTCCGAGACACTGCGATACAATCTCGATCCTTTTGGAAAATACACTGACATAGAAATCTGGGACGCGTTGAGGGAAGTTGAATTGAATAACTTGGCCCTCGACCAATGGGTCACCGAAGGCGGAACAAACTTCAGCGTTGGTCAGCGTCAGCTGATTTGTCTCGCTCGCGCTCTGCTGAGAAACAATCGGATCCTGGTTCTCGACGAAGCCACCGCCAATATCGACTCTCGGTATGTATTATCCCTGCTCTTATCGACTCAAATTCCACAAGAATGTACTATTTTTTAACGGTGGTTTTCATGGTAGGACTGATGCGTTGATCCAGCGAGCAATTCGCTCGAAATTCGCAGACTGCACAGTTATAACAATAGCTCACCGTCTGAATACAATCATCAACAGCAACAGAATTCTAGTAATGGATAATGGATGTGCTGTGGTAAGTGATCAATCAAATTTTTTCTATTTATTTCTTCCATTTATCGATTACTAATCTTCTCCTTTCAACAGGAATTTGATACACCGTACGAATTGCTGATAGAGAAACCGGATAGTATATTCGCCAAAATGGTCGAACAAACCGGGCCATCCATGACTGCTAAAATACTCCACGAAGTAATGGAATTCCATAATCAACCATCAGCTCATGATACCAATGATTCTCCTGCTGTAGATACTCTTGATATATCATCTGATGATACAAAGCTTTAAAAAATATCAAAGCGAGCTCACCGTGTGTTATTTATTACCTCATTAATGTAAATCATTGCCTTAAGATTTTTAATAGGTATAAACTATTGTTAGAATTTTTAAGTGTACCAAATTCTCAGCGAATTCTTAAGTACGACTAGTTGTTTCATAAATATATGTATAAGTGTCGAATATTGTGAGTTAATACTCAATTTAATAAATTACTTTTACAAAATATTTTGTTACTAATTTTTGTTACAGTAATTTTTCGAGATAAAATAGGAATAGATTGTTTTATCAACAACCAGATCTTGAGGGAACTATGCATAATTATCTTTTAATAATTTTAGGCAAATCAGTATATTAAATAGTATTTTAACGAATCAAAGTGAATCAATGTATTCAAGTATTTAAAATATCTTATAGCGCTATCGTTTCTCTTAAAAAAACTTGTAATCATCAGAGTTCTTATAAATATTCAAAAACTAATGCATTTGCGTCAATAAAAAAAGACTAAGTGCATATAAACGATAAAAATAATCGCAATATATGTCCAGGGTTTGAGTTTTAATCATTGAAGAATTTAATTACCACCTAAAGATAGTTATATAAGACAATTATTTTTATCGTGAAGTGTTAACAAAAAAGCTGTTATCGGTCTACATGAAATTAAATCGTTAAACTATTGAAATAACGTTGCTTCCAATTTATAAATGCATTATCGATTGTATAGTCATTTAAACTTCTCATATCATATCCCTGAACTCTATCATTTATTAACATCATTACTTATCAATCAGAATATAAACTTGATCTTATTATTCACCTACACATGTAAAGTCGATCATATTTTTAGACATCGGATTGGAGATAAAAATGCTATCAGTGTCGACGAAAACCACGTATTCTTCTTCAAAAAAAAATAAATCGGGTTTTTTATTTTTAAAAGTCATTTAATTTATTTTAAGTAATTACTTAATGGAAAAATTTATGTGATAGCCGATTTGGTAATTATACCCTCAGGTTATTGATTCGTCATTAAATTTGAGATGATAAATTACAAATTTCGTTTTTAATTAATAATTAATAATTTTCTGCTATTTATTGAAAATCAGAATGGAAATTTATTATTTCAGCATTTTTTAACGAAAAATAATTTAATCCTGGTATTTCGGTACATCGGTACTTCATAAAATTTTGCAATTTTTAACGAGCTAATATTGATCGATGTCAAATTTTCAGAAGATCTTTTAATTCAGTATTTGATTAAAAATTAAAATAGATAACTGAGATTTTTTTATTTTAAGATTCTTCTCACACAAAATTTAGAATGAATTTGATTATATAATTAAAAAAAAAAAGTAAAATAAAATAAGACTTCATAATGTTGGATCATTATCGAGGATGGGATCATTGACCTGTAGAATTACGTCTAATATTAGATTTTCTGATTTCGTATACTGATGTCAACTTTAAGTCAAAATTTAGATTTCTAATTTAAGGACGGTAAATGTAGAAGAGTATATAAATTAGCTGAAGAAATTTTAGAGAATTCGGATTTGTACTTTTTGTTGAAGAAATTGACTCAATCATATTTGTGATTTTTAACTTACCGCTAAGAAAATCGAAGATTTTCAAAAATCGGGAAGTTATTGTTTTCACCCCGTTTTGCAAAAATCGAGTTTTCATCAGATCTCGACGTTTAAAGGTCACAGAAAGCTTCCCTGACTATT